TGTTTGTTTCAGCCTCTTAATGGTTCAGATGTCTGAATGATTCAGCACTTAATGGTTCAGACTGTTTGTTTCAGCCTCTTAATGGTTCAGATGTCTGAATGGTTAAGAGATTTGCCTCTGAATGGTTAAGTATTATACAGAGTCTGAATGGTTAAGAGCTATTATCTGAATTGATCAGACATTTGCCTCTGAATAGTTAAGCAATATACTAGCTCTTAATGGTTCAGACCTCTTACTGGTTCAACACTTAATGATTCAGACCTCTTACTGGTTCAGCACTTACCCATTCAGAAGTTGCCAAACAGCCCCTTAGACGATCAAAACAAACAGTTTGAAATACTACAAAAACAATAGTTCATATTTTTAAAATACAATGCGAAATAATGGTTGTCTGAAGCAAATTTCTTTAGTAGTCTTTAGAGTAGCTGTCGCCTAAAAAATTCAACTACTATCATAAAAGATAGTTTGAATACTTCAAGAAAAACCACAAAACACCGCTGTGTTAATAATCAATATACAACTAAAACAAACAGTAGTTTGAATAAGAATAATGTTAGTAGTCCATATTCTAGAAATACAACAAAAGATAACAGTTGTCTGATGACATTTTTGTTTAGTAGTCTTCCGAGCAGCAGTCTGATATATCTTTTAATTACTTTTTAAAGTAGATGTCTATATTGTTGAACGACAACACCAAGAATTAGAAGTCTAAAGTTAAAAACAACACTAGTATTCATTATAGATAGACAATAAAAAATCACAGTTCTCTTTAACTCTAAAAAACAGATGTCTTACTAATACAAGGACAACACTAAAGGTCGTACTCTAAAACATTACAAAACAGGTGTCGTCAACCATTTTACACAACTGTTTTTAAACAATAGTCTGTAAATATATCAGACAGCTGCTCGGAAGACTACTGAAATCAGCACCGTGAGACTACTAAAAGATATAGTTGTCAGCATCTGTTTTTGACGTAGTGGCTGTGTATATCTTTTTATCATATGAAGTTATCGTAGAATATCATAAATCATGAAAACAAAGAAAATAATTTTCCCATACCAAATTATAGTTGATTTAATAATAGTTTGACTTTAATCTAATTTAAAATTAAAGTATTGTTTAATTTGATTTTAAAAAGTGGAAACGGATACAGATATATCCGATATCCGACCGATATCCAACGGATGCAGATACGGTTTTGATTTTCAGTATCCGTCTAGATCCATCCGAATTCGATATCCGACAAAAATAAACGGATACAGATTTGGTAATGGCACATCCGATCCGATTAATATCCGTTTACACCCCTAATCACATCATAAAAATGTTTTTCAAACATGTTTAAATCATTAAAAACACTTGGTGTTCGCCCAAACCAAAAACCAAGCCATCCGGAGTTCGGCTTTCAGAAACCGGCGTTCGGCTTTCAGTTATCGGCTTTGGTTTTTGGCGTCCGAACCAACCAAGTGGTTTTCAACATTCTTTGATTGGTTTTCACTCTTTGGCATGTTTAAACGGTTCTCCAACAAAAACACTTTGAAAACCACCTTTCGTTTTTGGTCGTTTGGCAAAAACCACGCAAAACGACGTAAACTTGGCTAGCCATGGTTTTTACTCAAATGACGTGGTTTTTAAAGTGTCTCACTTTATTTCTTAGATAAATTCATCATATAAGTGTTTTAAAGACTTGGTTTTTACTTTGGAGAACTTTGGATTTTTCGGTTGGTTTTTGCATCGGTTGGCTAGGCCGTGGTTAAGGCAAAAACCATGGGTTTTTGGCTAACCACCCACCCAGCGATGGGAAGACCTTCCCATCGATGGGTAGGAGATCCTTCAGCCTAACCAAGTTCCAGAACCATGCCAAACAGCGATGGGATGTTCTACCCATCGCTGTTAAAGCCTTGGTCCAACATCAACACAAGGCAGAACGACGTTACCCATCGATGGGGAACTTATCCCATCGATGGGAACCCAGCGATGGTAAGCGTAAACCATCGATGGGAAGGCATGACCGTTGGAAGTCATTTAAGGTTGATTCTTTCCTTGTTTGGAAGTCAACCTCCCACCCAGCGATGGGAAGCTTGTACCCATCGATGGGTAGGTGACCGTTGGCTTTAAAACTAAAGGAAAATTGGCTTACCAGCGATGGTTGAGTCTAAACATCGATGGGAAGCCAATATCTTGCAGATCCCAAATTTTTTCAATCCCATAAATCAAGCCAATCACCCCTTTAATGTATTGGTCCGTTGGAGCCTATTCTGGCACTATAAAAAGGGGTGTTTGGGTCTGCTTTTCTCATCAATTCACTTCACAATTCTCCTACTTTCATTGCATTCAAACAACACCTATTTCCATAGCTTTTTAGAGCCAATACGTGTGAAGTTTGAGTTGTTCTTGAGCGTACTTAGTGTACTCATTATCTACTCTATAAGAGAGTCTCGTTCTTGAGTGTATTTGTGTTCCTAGACATGTTGAGAGAAAGTATTTCTCTCGGTTGATTCAAAGGAAGGGCTGTTTCCTTTGAAGGATTCGTTGAGGTTCGTGTGACTCGAACTCTCAAGTTGTAAGGGTTTGTTAAGCACCATTAAGCTTAACGAGACAGTAGTGTAGCTCGAGAGAGTCTCTGGGGAGGCTGGATTAGCCACAAGTTGTGGTGAACCAGGGTAAATTCGGTGTGCCTCTTACTCTTCTCTTCACATCTCTTTTAAATTTTTTAATTCCTGCGATTTCTACGATCAAACGCTATTCACCCCCCCTCTAGCGTTGGTCTATTATTCTAACAATTGGTATCAGAGCCTAACTCGCGTCCAAACTTAACCGTTTGAGAGTAAAGGGATCATGGGTTCTTCTTCTAGAAATCTTTATGCAGGAATTGGAGAAAGTTAATCAACCTCTAGGCCACCGCTTTTTGACGGCACCAACTACACATATTGTAAAGAGTGGATGAGAATTTATATCCGCTCAACCAACTTCCAGTTGTGGTTGGTCATCAAAAACGGCGAAGAAACTCCAATGAAGAAGGTCAGTGAAAAACTCGTCCTAAAGACCGAGGACGAATTTGATGCCGAAGACATCAAAAAGGTGGAGAACTACGCCAAGGCAATCAACATGATGTACTGCGCGGTCAACCCCGATGATTATCGCAAGATCTCTTGCTGCACCACCGCCAAAGAAATGTGGGACAAGCTGGAGGTCACATATGAAGGTACGAACCAAGTTCGGGAAGCCAAAATTGACTTCCTAACGCAGGAGTACGAAATGTTTAGGATGAAGGAAGGCGAAAAGATCAATGACATGTTCGATCGATTCTCAAAGATCATCAACGAGCTTCATGCTCTCAAAAAGACTTACGCCAACTAGGATCTCGTGAGGAAAATCCTGCGGAGTCTCACACCCGAATGGAAATCAAAGGCTGTCGCAATCTACGAATCCATCGGAGTCTCCAACGTCACCATCGACGGGCTAAGAGGTAACCTCAAAACTTATGAATCTACTATTCTAACCTCGTCTTTGGATGAACAAAAGAAGAAAGGAATAGCGCTCAAAGCAACCAAAGAGACTGTAGAAGAAGTCTCAAGCGATGACGACAACGAGTTCGGACTCGTCATCAAGAAATTCCACAAATTCATGAAGAAGGAATTTGAACGAAAAGGAAGAAAGCACGACGGTCCCCCGAAGTGCTATGGGTGTGGCGAGATACGCCACATCAAGCCGAGGTGTCCAAAAGGCAAAAGCGGCAAGGACAAACCTGGCTTCAAAAAGCAACGTGCCTATATCTCATGGGGTGGCGACTCCGGCGACGAGTCAACTGACCAAGAAGAGGAAGAAGCCGCCAACTTGTGTCTTATGGCAAACGAAGACCACGCCGACGAAATACAAGAGGTATGTATCACTTCCTCCGACTCTTAGACTTTTGAAGAGATGCAAGAAGCTCTTCGAGAGCTTTATGATGAATTTGTTAGCGCTTCTAAAACCAACAAATCATTAAAGAAACGTCTTTCAACTCTTGAAAATGATTTTGAAAAACTGGAAAAAGATAATGAAAAGTTGAAACAATAGAATAAATTTTATGGCAAAACAAGCGCTGACAAACCGGAAAGCTCTTCAAGTGAATGTGAATCTTGCAAAGGTTTAAAATAAAAGGTTGCAAAACTTGAGAGTACGGTTAAGAAGTTTAATACACCACACAAAGATCTTAATTTACTCCTAGACACTATGCATTTTTCTAAGGAAGGATTAGGTTTTGATAAAAATGAATCTAAGGATAAAAACGTTGAGCAAACACCTAGACAACCTCCTAAGGCTCAACGTAAGAAAGTTAAAAATCAGGATAATAGAAAATCTAGTCAACCTAAGGACACTAGACAACCTAGACAAAAACCTAGGAACGAAAATGTGCATATTAGACAACCTAGGAAAAACTATCAAAATGAATTTGTGCATAACCCAAATGTAGTTTGTCACTATTGCAATAGGGTTAGGCCCCCTAGCAACTATTATCAACCTAGGAGGATGCACAACCCAAATGTAGTTTGTCACTATTGCAATAGGGTAGGACATATAGCTCCCGTTTGCTTTACTAGGCATAGGCATTGGGCACAAAATGAATCACACTACCACTTTGCACCTAACACTCAAGGACCCAAAAAGACTTGGGTACCTAAATCTTATTAAATCATTTTTGTAGGTGTGCTTGAAGGCGTCAAGTGTACTTTGGTACCTTGATAGCGGATGCTCCAAGCACATGACCGGAGATGCATCCAAGTTCCTACAAATCAAACTCGCTAAAGGAGGAAACATAGTCTTTGGAGATAATAGCAAGGGAAAAATTATCGGCGTCGGTTCAGTAAGTAAGTCCGAAGACTACTCTATAGATAATGTCTTGCTTGTTAAAGGTCTTAAACACAATCTCTTGAGCATAAGTCAATTATGTGACAAGGGAAACCGTGTGACCTTCGATTCAAAATCAAGCACGGTAGAACGCCTTAGTGACAATAAGGTCATTCTACGTGGTGATAGAATCGATAACATATATATTGTTAACTTAGACAAATCTCCTTCCGGCTTTGCTAAGTGCCTCATGAGTAAAGAGGAAGACACTTGGTTATGGCACCAAAAAGTAGCTCATATGAACATGAACCTTTTGAACAAATTGGTTTCACAAGACTTAGTAATTGGCATTCCAAAACTTAAGTTTGAAAAAGACACCAAATGTGATGCATGTCAAAAGGGGAAGCAAGTTCGGGCTTCGTTTAAGTCTAAGAACGTTGTTTCAACGTCTAGACCGCTTCAACTTTTGCACATGGATCTCTTTGGTCCTTCTAGAACGAAAAGTTTTGGTGGTAATTACTTTGCGTTTGTGATTGTCGATGACTACTCTAGGTTTACATGGACCTTGTTTCTAACTCACAAAAGTGAGGCATTTCACGTTTTCAAAAATTTTCTAAAGAAAGTTCAAAATGAAAAAGAAACAACCATAGTAGCNTTGTTTCAACGTCTAGACCGCTTCAACTTTTGCACATGGATCTCTTTGGTCCTTCTAGAACGAAAAGTTTTGGTGGTAATTACTTTGCGTTTGTGATTGTCGATGACTACTCTAGGTTTACATGGACCTTGTTTCTAACTCACAAAAGTGAGGCATTTCACGTTTTCAAAAATTTTCTAAAGAAAGTTCAAAATGAAAAAGAAACAACCATAGTAGCCATAAGAAGCGATCATGGGGGAGAGTTCGAACGAAATCTATTCTCAGATTTATGTGAAGAACTCAGCATTGATCATAATTTCTCAGCCCCACGTACACCACAACAAAATGGAGTGGTGGAACGTAAAAATAGATGTCTCGAAGAGATGGCTAGAACTATGATCAATGAGGCAAAAATCCCTAAGTATTTTTGGGCGGATGCTGTGAGTACCGCAAGCTACGTGTTAAACCGAGCCGTCATTCGACCGATACTCATGAAAACGCCTTATGAACTATACAAAAGGAGAAAGCCAAACCTTTCCCATCTTCGAGTCTTCGGCTGCAAATGTTTTATTCATAACAATGGCAAAGACAACTTAGGCAAATTTGATGCCAAGTCGGATGATGAAATTTTTCTGGGTTATTCACTTCGTAGCAAGGCCTATAGAGTCTTTAATAAACGAACTTTGAGTCTTTAATAAACGAACTTTGACCATTGAGGAGTCCCCTCACGTTGTATTTTCTGAAGATAATCCTCGCTTGGCGAGAAATGATATTTGTGATGATCTTGCAGATTCATTAGAGAGAATACACGTCGAAGACGATGAAGAGAACACAGGAATATACACCAACACGCAGCCGCAAATTGGGGAGATACCTCAAGCGACTAACCAAGGTGAAGAAGAAAATCAAGAGGAAGAAGAAGAACAAGAGGAACACGAAGAAGAAGCAACCGAGCTTCCCATTGCATGGAAAACGAACAAGAACCATCCGCGTGACCAGGTAATCGATAGCATCAACCGCGGGGTAAGTGCAAAGGCCATCAATATGCTATATTGCGCGGTCAACCCCGATGACTACCGAAAGATCTCCTGTTGCACAACCGCCAAGGAGATGTGGGACAAGCTTGAAGTGACGTACGAAGGTACCGATCAAGTTCGCGAAGCCAAGATCGACTTTCTCACCCAAGAGTACGAAATGTTCCAGATGAAAGAAGGTGAGAAAATTGATGACATGTTCGACCGGTTCTCAAAGATCATCAACGATCTTCATGCTCTCAAAAAGACCTACACCAACAAGGATCTTGTGAGGAAAATCCTGCGGTGTCTCACACCCGAATGGCGGTCAAAAGACGATGCAATCTACGAATCCATTGGAGTCTCCAACGTCACCATCGACGGGCTAAAAGGTAATATTAAAACCTATGAATCTACTATTCTAACCCCGTCTTTGGATGGACAAAAGAAAAAGGAAATAGCTCTCAAAGCCACCAAGGAACCGGTGGAAGAGGCTTCAAGCGATGACGACAATGAATTCGGGCTCGTCATCAAAAAGTTCCACAAGTTCATGAATAAGGAATTTGAGCAAAAGGGAAGGAAGCACGACGGTCCTCCCAAATGCTACGGCTGTGGCGAGATTGGCCACATCAAGCCAAGGTGTCCAAAGGCCAAACACGGCAAGGACAAGCCTGGCTTCAAGAAGCAAAGGGCCTACATCTCTTGGGGTGGCGGTTCCAGCGACGAATCAACCGACCAAGAGGAGGACGAAGCTGCAAATCTCTGCCTCATGGCACACGAAGATCAAAGCGACGACGTCCAAGAGGTATGTAACATTTCTTCTGACTCTTATACTTTTGAAGAAATGCAAGAAGCACTTCATGATCTCTATGAGGAATTTGTTAGCGCTTCTAAAACAAATAAATCTTTGAAGAAACGACTTTCTTTACTTGAAAACGATTTTGAAAAATTGGAAAAAGAAAATGAAACACTTAAACAAGAAAACAAATTTTTTTGGAAAAAGAAGCGCTGACAAACCAGAAAGCTCATCAAGTGAATGTGGGTCTTGCAAAGCTTTAAAAGAGCAAGTCGCTAAACTTGAGAGCACGGTCAAGAAATTTAATACTCCTCATAAAGACTTAAATTAATTATGGTTCTTTTGTTAATATATATATATATATATATATATATATATATATATATATATATATATATATATATATATATATATATATATATATATATATATATATATATATATATATATATATATATATATATATATATATATATATTGAAAAAAAAAATATTGTCAATCGCATCCACTACTCTCGCACCCCTCTGCTCCAAGAAGGTAATAAAAAAATGAGTATTGAAATTGACTGTATCAAATTTTATAAATGTAAACTGTTAATTCGGAAATGATATCAAGTGTTGATTCAAGTCGCACTTTCGTACTTGGTAAAAGACGAAAGAACAAACGAAATGTCTATGACTCGTTGATACGTTACCAACGTGCACATCGATTCACAAGAATAATGAAACGAAGAATTTATCTACGCCGCAAGGCTGCATGGGAACGAGATGACCCAGAAGAGACGTTCAGCGTAGACTCTGCCAGTAGTGTATGTGGGTCGGGCAAGGAAGACCCGTCTGTAGATTCGGCACGATCCAACCAATTGAACGCAAATGCTTAGAAAATTATCTTATTGTTGGTTTCAAATCCATTGATTGTATCAACTGTTGTAACCCTTTGCAATTCCTGTCTTAAACTCAACTACTGAATAAAAGAATCCTAATAAAGGAATTTCTGTTATTGTAGAATGAGTCAAGAATCCGCCCACGAACAAGGCAACAATGAACACGTCAGCGTTCATACTGAAGCATCTAGTTTTACCCCTCCCGTCCAAAATGAACCCGTCAATCAACAAAATGTTGGGAATAACCCAAACGCTGGTGGTCAACCCGACCTTGTGATTCCAGCTTTTCTAGCTAATGTGTTGCAACAAATAGCCAACGCACCAATGTTTCAACCACCTCCACCACCGCCACCTCGAGTGATAACCTACAAAACGCTAAGAGATAACGGTGCAGAATTATTCTTTGGGGATCGCATCGGTGAACCCCAGATTGCGTGGGACTGGATCGAGCAGACTGCTCGAGTGTTGGAGGATCTTAATGTACCCATTGGCAACTATCCCCGACTGGCATCTCAGCTGCTTCGCAAAGAAGCCTACGAGTGGTGGAAGAGGACCGATGAGAGTGTAGGAACCCCTAAGCCATGGACATGGGCACATTTCGAATGGGCATTCAAGCAAGAATATATTCCAAAACGTTTTAGC